CTCAAGTTGTCATATCAGACTATCATCAGATAGACCTGTAAAAAAGGTCATAATTGTGTTTTGGTAACCGTCATTGTGTTATGTGACATGTGATGATGAATATGGAGAACAAAACCAATATTGAAAAGCTAAGAATCTCCTCTTTACAACGGTGTCTACTAGTCCAAATGTTGTTTGGGGGGGGTAGATGTGACNTGCTGGGAGTCCCAGCAGCTTCTACTGAAGCCAGTCCCCAACTCCGGGGACTTCCGGCCGGGGATTTTGGGCGGCAGTATACACCGTGAAGTTGTTCGCGGCCTGCCAGTAAACCCAAAGCAGAAGAAGAAGAAGTGACGTCAGCGGCTTCATTTGCCTAATCCACCCCCAGGGACTTATTCCGGTGTGAATGCGATCTGTACTTAGTTCATCAGAACTGAAGAGTTCTGATGAACTAAGTTCTGATGAACCTTTGTGGGAAAAGTACTGCGGTGTGAATGTGCCTAATATGGAGAACAAAACCAATATTGAAAAGCTAAGAATCTCCTCTTTACAACGGTGTCTACAAGTCCAAATGTTGTTTGGGGGATAGATGTGACTGATTTTGATAAACAGGTCACATATAACCCTCCTTGGGAGTGCTCTGAAGTATGAAGCTGTTCTCATCATGTCACTCATGATTCTTCTTCCAGTCGTGAAGGCCTTTGCACTGTCGACCGAGAGGCGGGCCCACGAGCGCCAGGAGTTTGAGCGTCTGGCCAATGACAAGGAGGCTCTCCGGATGCTAATGGAGGAGCAGCAGAGGCAAGAGGTGGAGCAGAGGGAGAAGGACGATGTCACCAAGCTGCGGAGTGACCAGGTCCCTGCAAAATGATTATACTATTTGTTTGTTCTGATATTTTCAACATAATTCACTCTTCAGTCTTCAGTCTTTTTTTGCACATCACCAACTTGTCTTTCCCACGATATGTACAACATACTATGTGTTTTTTGTGCGTACTCCTTGCATATTATACTACGTTGTTTTTTGCTTTGTTTTTTCGACAAACTATACTATGTCGTTTTCTGACCTGCTATATCAACAGTTTTTTTCCTGATATTTTTGAAATATTTTCCTGATTTACATGTGGGATTCACTGACTCATACCTGGTGTTCTCTTCCTGCAGGTTCACGCTGCACAGCCCATCAGGCACTACAGACCTGTGGCTGTAAAGAAGAGTGAAGCCCCCCTCACCATCCCCCACTCCCCAAACTTTTCTGACCGCTTCCGCCTGTGATCAGGATTTCGATTTCATGTCTTGCCCACCACTGTCATTCCGAGCAGCATATTATATCAGTTTGCTTCTTTTATATACCATTTTATTCAATAAAGTTTATGAAAAGTAGCCAGTGGTTATTTGGAATTCTAACAACTTCAGTGTTTCACTTGGAAATCCAGACTTTGCAATGGTTAAAGTGTTTATTTAATAAAACGTTCACTTTGTTCGTGGTGATTCAGCCAGGAGAATATGCAAGGCTACAGAAAAGGCTTTCTGTTTGGGGGCCAAGAAGGCTTGAGTTTGAATTTTTCTGGTTCTTTGCATTCTTAAACATTAAACATTAAAAGGAAACTACAAAAGACATCAACAGATTTTAAAGTTCTGTCAAAGATGGTGTTGCAGAACCCATATGGAAATAGCCTGCTGACTCACTAGGCTTCAGCACCTTTTCAGTGATATGACAGCCATGCCACATTTAACAATAGTTTGGAGTCAGATGAAAGTACTTTCAGAATGTAATGTCTTGATGCTGTTACAGCTAACGACACTTCTTTTTCTCAGCATTTGGTGGAGACTAACATAACAATGGCAATAATAACAAATGCTAATTTTATGATAATGCTTCAAATAGAGATGCCACTCACAAAATGTAAGTTGTATCTAGGAGTCAATTAAAAGTGTTCCCCACGGCTGACAATTAACTCCATCTGACAAAAATACTCAATGACTTTAAAACAGGCTCATGTTGGCTGAATATGATGGGGGTGCCTATGCTCTATTGTCAAACTGAACAGCTAGATTTGCTTCATCTGTTTCTATGCTGTCAGTTCTGACCTCCAGCTTCTGACACGCAAGGGACATAAGTTGAATCACAGTTCACACACCGTTTGGTTCACAGATTTATTCAAGTTGTAGTCTTAGCTCAGTGATGGCTGGTAACAAGAAAGGACAACGTTAGATGTAACTCAGCTGATATCAGTGAGTGCACCAGAGAAGGACTTCAGTATCTCTCCCAAAATGCAGTTATATTACAAAACAATTTAGAGAGTGTGGCCTTTATCAAATGATATATACACAAAATAAATAGAGCCTTAGCAGGATTTGGAAGTGTCTCTGTTGAAAAAGTTAGTAAAGAAGTACTTTAGTAACACATAGTGGGACAGCTAGTGTAAATGTAACAATATGTTCCACAAGCGTTGGTAAAGAATTGGAGCTGGTGGTTTCCTGAGGAGTCCATGTGACGGGGTCTGAACAAACACACTACAACAGTAGCTTCTGACTGAAAGTTTCAACATTGTTCTCCACACACACAGGAGTTCAGAACTGGGACTAAAGTAACACACGTCTACTTAGGAGAATAAAGCTGGTGAGATGAGGTGAGAGGTTGGAGTGTGAGACGTTTCTGATCAGGTGTTCCCGCTGCATGTTAGCATAGGAGCTACTTCCTGATAACATCTGGCTGAACATTGTTAATTCTTAGCTGTCTTTGGTTTAACATTTTATAAATCACATGTGATCTCATTTTCAGGTGAATGATGATAATAAACTCAGTGACTATCCTGGATCATGTACCCTACAGCAGGCTACACAATGATGTAAGATCACTGTTTTGTAACTCACAAGAGGACAATATTTTATCATCCTTTCTTTCACATTTTTCACCTTATAGAAAATCTCATTCCAGGAATTTCCAGGCTCCAATTCCCTTAAATCCAAGGACCCAAAACACCATAACAAGGCACTTTCCCAAGGCAGGTGGAGTGTGAAACGATGACACAATTGCGGGAGACATACAAATGTAAGCACTTGAAATGACCATAAATGTCTATTTGTAAAGCTTCCACCTGGGGAGCTGGCCCCCCGATGCCTCGCTGACCCCGTGCAGGTTCTGCTGCTGTGACATCACTCCTGCTAATATTACATCTGAGAAGCTTTGGGGAAGTGTTACTGTGGAGCCAGTTCTCCTCTGATGTGGCGCTAACATGTTCTGGTTCATTATGCAGCTGTGTTTTCATCACAGAGCACTGTTGCTGTGGCTAATAGGTCAGACGTTGTATGAGAGTCTTGGAGTAACAGAGAAACAACATTATTTTGAAAATGCGAACAAGCGAAAGAGAAGAGCGAAGGTGTGGAGAGCCGTGATGCGTTCGGATGCGGTCAGCAGAGTGTCCTGTTGGCTTTAGAGCTGGTGATGTGTTCAGGGGTCTACAAAGGACACAGCGATGTATCGCACCCCCCCAGTGGTGGGCAGGCCTTCGTGGTAGTGCGTGAGGCGGCCCGGGTGCATCAGGGTCCAGCCTTTACGAGTGGCCTCGATGGAGCAGTCGTAGCGGAGGAACCGGCAGCCTCCACCCTGCAGCACAACACACACATCAGCCTCTGCTCCTCACACACACCGGGGGAATATTGAAACCCCTCCCCTTATTAGAGTTCATTTTGTACCGATTGAACAGCTTCAGCCTTTCACATGCAAGTACACTTACCAAAGTGCAAGAACTAAATGTCACTTATTTAGTGTAGAATAACTAAACAAACAAACAATCACATCATACTGAATGGAATGTGCCAGCAATACGTACAGCAAATGGTTAGGGCCAAACGCTTTTTTCATTCTGACCCAAAGTTCATTCTTTTATTAAATTCGGAGATTCAAGTCAGAACAAGTTAGATTTTCATTTTTTTATAATTCTGACTTTAACCTCAGAACTACAAAAAAATCACTTCTGGCTCAATCCAAATCAATTCAATTTGAGCCCTAATCTTCTTCCAGCTTTATATGTCTGTGCAATTTGACTTCTTCTACAAAACATCAAATTGTACTTAAGAAATGTTAGGTTCAATCCTCACAAAGCCCACATATATAGGCATATATGTATATTTATCATCAGTTTCAGTCATAATGAATTAGCATTTGATTTGTCTAAATATGAATCCACATGATAATAACATGAGCTAATGTCTGAGGGTTTAGTCCAGGTTAAAGAAACACCAGGGATGCAACAATAAAAACAAGGCCCCCAGGGGGCTTCATGCAACAACAACAACAGACTGACAGACAGACAGGGAGCAGAGAAGAAGCAGAGAGAGAGAGAAGACCCGCCCCCCCCATCCTCACATCCTCCAGCTGCTCCACATTTACCTGGTAGTCTACTTCCTTGCTGTTCAGGGCTATGTTAACAGTGAACGTGGAGGCGTCGTGGTGAGGCGCAAGCAGCGGCTGCTCGTCAGGTTTGTACCTCACCACGAAGTTCAGAGGGGTGGCGCACTGAGGGGAGAGGACACGTAAGGCAGCAGCAGCATACACACTATTCACTTCATCCATGGGTTAGAGTTACAGGTATATTTACTCAATTACTGTTGGGGGGTTTCTTTGAGAGTTTCTTCTTGCAGGGGTCTAGCTGCATTCACGTGATACACAGAGTGACATGATATGATATGTAGTGAGATGATATTATAACTCTGTCAAATGATCTTATGCACTTAGAATCATGTACATATATGATGTCTTGTACTCTGATTGGCTTTTCATCTGTTGAATTGTATTTGTTAGTCTTGTATGTGTGGCACAGAGACATAGGTTTGACATTCCAGAAGGGTAAAAGGTGAATTTGCAAATGGTTAAGGTTTGGGTGGAAAGGTTGAGATAATGTCTAAGATGGGAAGGATGGGTTCGCTGCTTTCTTTCTTCTACATAGTGGGACTGTTAGCTGTGTGCGGGGTGCAGAACCTCTTCAACCTTTGAGGATGAAGTTGCTCTGTTCCAGCATTTGAGATCTATTTCAATTGAATTTGACTTTCATAATGACTTTATGAAATATAAGAATAGACACACTTGTTTATGAATCATTGATCAGTTTCTCTTAAGGGAACAATCATTTCCCCTACATCTAGAGATCTTTCTATAGTAACGTCCCCTGCTAGCCTGCTCAGCTTTCGTCTGATTGGTCAGCCTACTCTGGAACACAACACAGTGCAGGGCCGTTTTACCGTGCGTCATGTGAAGGCAGCTTCAAGACAGAAGGGGTACACACTGTAAAGACCCCTGAGGCATGTGTCCTGTGATAATGAGCTATATAAATACAATTTGATTGATTGATTGATTGACTCTACTTAAGTACTACTTGGAAGGGCTTGTTCTTTACTTGAGTATTTAACCACTACATTTGTTAATACCTTTAGTGACTTTGCAGATTTGGATTAATGATGAGAAATATAATCAACACTTAAATAAGACTGTACTGTAATGTACTGTAAGCACTCTACTTATTACCATAGACATTTTAACTACTTATACTTTAGGTTTGTCTTTCTGTGCCACTAAATACTTCTACTCCTCTACAATTCAAAGGAAAATATTCAGATTTTACTTTACTACATTTATTTTTCATCTCTAGTTTTTAAGATTGTTTTAAATATGAAGTTCTGATGTGAATAACACTATACATGAATGAAGTACCAAAATCAATGGGTGAATGTATAGATTTTTGGAATGCAGTAATAGCACTTTAAAGTAAAGGATCTGAATCCTCCTTCCACGGGGGACATGATGCTGTGTCCAGCTCTTACCTTGGTGTAGTACCCAGGATACATCTTCTCTGTGATCGGTGCGATGTACTCCAGCAGGAATTTGTGCCACTCCTTTTCAAAGTTGATTTGGTTCATGTGGATATCTATCGTCGGCACGTTCTCATAGCCACCCTGGATTCTGACGTCCTGAGAGAGAAGGACATGAAAATAAAATAAGAGCCACCACATGACCTACAGCAAACACACATTATAGAGAATGGCTGCTCAATATGTCATCTCTTTATCAAATAAGAACTGACCAAGAAGCATGCAGAGCTTACATATTATATTCTTTATATTAATTACATTAATCATCCATTTCATTAATACATACATAATAAATAGTTTAACTTATTATTATTTTTAATTCCATTATTCATTATTAATTGAAGTAATTTCAATATAATAAATGACATGATATTAATGTTATACCATTTGATATTTTACTGTTATCTAAAGGAGGCTCAAAGGAGGGAATGTATCACTATATCTGACACCCTTCAATAACGTACCGTATTGCCTCCTCCTGACCACTTCCCAAAATGCTCCATTTCTTCAACAATGTGATCACAGGCAACATTGGAGAAAATCGGGAACCAGTAGACATCGGGACAGGGCTGAGGGACAGAGGACACTGGTTACCACAGGACATGTTCACCACTGCTGCACTGACATCACAACATCTGTCCATGTCTTTTTATATGCAACTCCTTTTATAAATGAGAAGCAGACACATGTGTTTTACTATATCATGTGTAACCATGGGATCCTGTAGCTGGTGGAGCACTCACAGTCTCGATCAGCTTGTCTCTCATGATGTAGGTGTAGTTCTCATGGATGTAGCGCTCCTGCCAGTCCTGAAGGAGACAAACACAGGGCACAAACTGAACCACTGCCACAAGCAGGGCCGCACCACTGATAGAAAAGTCAAAGGCGACCATGACTTTGGCTTCCCACAATGAAATGAAAACACCATGGAGTGCGATATCAACGCTTAACTCTATTTCGATGCAAAGATGCTTAATAAGCAGGACTGTAGAACAATGTGGAAGTGAAATCGGAGCACCGTTGATTTAATACTGGGTTAAAAGCATTGGTACAATGTTATTTAACAACATAATCCCCCTTGACAATAAATGAAGTCATCTTTATCTTTTTTGTATTTCTAGAAATTCATCATGAACATGCTTGTGGAGGAGAGTAAGTTTGAAATGACAAGTTTCACTTTGGGTCAAATTTGTAACGATACACTTCATGACATGACATTACAGGTACATTTAGCTTGATACTTGAATGCTTTAAGGCCCCCGCAATTGGCCCCCGGGCTTTAGTTAGGACACCCCAGGTTTATACACACAAGGACCTAATGAAGGCCAACCAAGAACCCCCCTCATCACATCTTATAATATGAACAGTCTCACCACTGGGTTTTCAAAGATCTGCCACAGGTCGTTATGGAGATGGCTGGTCTGGTAGGTCTCTGTTGACACGATGCGACCAAAAGTGTGCATGTTGGTCACAAACATGAAGACTCCCTGAGAGAAAGAAGAGCATCAGATCAGATATTTGACATCATGTTTTTTAATGAGATCTTAGACCAAACAGATGACAGAATAAGCAGAACATTTTGAACAAAGTGAAATGATGTAGTTCTTGCATACATGTACTACTACTGTTGTTAGTGTATAAAGAATGTTGTCAGTGTCTCTCACGGACCTGCTTGCGGATGTTGTGGCAGAAGGCCATGTCGGGGTCTAAGATGTCTGAGTTGAACAGATGGAAGTCAGTGAGCTCAGACCGGAGCAGACTGGCCTTTACCAGGTACACACTGGACACATACGGGACATTCCACACACCCCTGGAAACAAGAACATTTTAGACGATGTGCACAGCAACACCAAGGTCTAACAGCAGGAACACACTGTGTTTCACTGAGAGAGAACCAGGCCTGAATGAGAGACAGCTTATAGAATATATGATATGCTATTTAAGTGCGTTTGCTGATGTCTTTATAAAGCTTAATGTTCATTTCTATAGAAGCACTACAGCAGAGCCTAAAAAAAAAACACCTCCTTTCATTTGAAATGCAAACAGGAAGTGTTGGATTAAACCAGGGGTGTCAAACTCAATTTCATCACGGGCCACATTCGCATAATGGTTGCACTCAAAGGGCCGGTTACTTTAAGACTAAATAAAAATACATGTATAAATATTTAATATATATAAAATAATGTATTATATTACATAATTCTTCTGCATTGGATTATTATCGGATAGGGTAATAACTTCATAATTAACTCGGTCTGAAAGCAGAAGTCTAGGGCAAGTAATTGCAAGTCTCTTCAGTGAGAAAAAAAATGATTTTAAAAGACATTTTGAAAAGAAAAGTCAATTCTGAGAAAAGGGCAAATTCTGAGAAAAAAGGCATATTTAGAAGAAAAAAAAAAAAAAATGAGATGCGTTGTGCTCCATGTCAACGTGCTTCTGTAAATCGCCATGTAACTGTATAACAAACATATTATATCATTTGCAAGCTCTTGTGGGGCTACATAAAGTGAAGTCGCGGGCCGGATTTGGCCCCCGGGCCTTGAGTTTGACACCCCTGGATTAAACAGTAACTTTAAAAAAAGTGAAATTAGACAATTGGATATATTTAGAAAAGCCGTGAGCTATAATTACAAGTTAAATGACATATTCCTATTAAAAATAACCAAATGTGACATATACAGTATATATAATTTATTCATTCAAAAAATGTTTAGGCATCACTACTGTTAGCTTTGATTTCATTTGGTGAAGCACTGCAGTTTTCTACAACGATATGTCAGCTCTATGTTCTATTCTATATCAAAGAACTCATTTTACAATCAAAAGAGATATTTAAGCATCTTACACTCTGCGTCCTTGCACTATGTCCACGTAGTCCTCAGACCTGGCGTAGTAGCCCTCTGCACTGAGGGCCCCCCAGAAGTTGCTCCACAGTCGGCCAGCGCGAGTTATCATCGGGGCCACAAAGGGACTAAAGAACAATTCAAGTGTTACGATATGAATACATCCAATCAAATACAAGTAATAGAAACGTGCAAATAAAAAAGAGATTTACTCTCCAAAGGCATCAGCTGGATCAGGATCATTGTTTACAGTTGAATATAAATAAAGTATACTTACAGGTTTTGTTCAATGAGAATTTTGAGTGTGTTTTCGTTCTTTAAGACCACTTCAATGTCCAAGGTGAAGAAATAGTCACAGCCCTCGTCTTTCCGGCACACATCGCTGGAAGGTAGAAAATAAATATGTTGCGTAAACACATACTCTGTCAGACACCACACGTTCCTGCAGTACTAACAGATCAATGTGCACATTCAAAATACAAAGATCACGTTCTGCCCAGAGGGGGGCGGTCAGTGAATGACTGCAGAGAGTTTTTAAATGTTTCTTTAAGATATAAATACTACAAGGTGTGCATGGTAAACCAAGAACATATCAAACACACTGCAGAATCTGCATTCTGATTGGCTAGAGCACTTCTTTGTTGAAAATTCTGTGTAACGATTGGGCTGGAACTTGTGTGTTGTTAACCCTTTGTGAACTGGGATGCATATGCGCAAAAAAAAAAAAACACAATTAAAATTCTATATGAACTGAGGAGCCGCATCAGACTGGGCAAAGAGCCGCATGTGGCTCGAGAGCCGCGGGTTGTCCAGTCCTGCTAGTCTAGATGATAGGAAAGGAGAATATGCTTTGCGGCTAATCCTGCTGGCAAATCCAAAAAGAGTGGCTCAGTCTAAGTGCAGTTGGATCCTCTCAGCACAGCAGTCTCTTTCCCTAAGTCCTGATAATAGAGAAATACTCAAGATGTGTCATACAGCTGAATGTATGGAACTCACATGGCCAGGTTGCGGGAGGCAGCAGTGTCCACCTCCTCCTCAGGCCCGCTCACCCTGACATCCTGATAAAGGCTCCCATGATCCTTCAGGAAAAGGCTGACCTGACTCTCATGATGAGCTTCCTGGAGTGAGAGTAGAAATAAAACAGATATAAAAGGAAGTACAGGGAAGAAATCTGGGATATGTGGACTTCATTGTTAGCTACAGAAGAGATGTAACAATGACACTGTTTCGAGCAGGAAGTTAGGGTTAAGATGTATATGTCCTACTTGGTTGTGGATGAAGAGTTTCAGTCTGTTCTTGGGGTACTGGAGCTTCAGGAGGCGTTCAAAGAACACCGTAACAAAAGGGGTGGGCTTCTGAATGAAGATGCCGATAAGCACCAGTGGGTACTCGCTCTCCTGTTGGATATAAACAGAGAAAAGGCTTAATACGTCCATTTGGCCGCAGACAAAACAGCCTTTTGATTCAATGTGGCACATCTGGAACATACATGATATAATGAAGAAGCCTGTGGACTGACCTGAAGACCTTCCAGTGGGAGGAGCCTCTCATTACACGCTTTGCATCCCTTCTCAAACGTCCACATGTTGGGGATATAGTTCCCCAGGTAGTTGATCTGGAGCTGGAATAGAAATCACATCTCTATAAAACATCCATTATGTATTAGAAGAAAAAGAAAGTCATTTTGTTTTATTCTTGGCATAAGAATGACTGTGTTTGGTTAGCAGTGGTGTATGCGAACAAAGAGCACAGTCATTCACATCAAACAGAGATGTTGTCTTGTTCTGTGTGCAAAGCCGATATTTGCTATCCAGCTTTGTTTTGGTTGCTCATTCAGAAAGCTCAGGACACTAAAAGACCAGACAGTTCCAAATCAAATGGCTATAGACAAAGAACGGATCTGCGTGTTTAGGCTGAGAAGCACATTCCTATTCTTGTATGCTGAGACAAAGGGGGAAGTGAAGGAGGGGCAGCGGAAAAAATGTGCAATAAGATTTCAGTGGCAGGAAGTCAACAGTTTGATGGGGTGTTTATAGGTGTGTTTATCTGCTTTGAAGTGTTCTTTACTGACAGACTGCAGAATGAAATCATCATTCTTCCCTCTGGATGAAGTGATGAGTATGCATCTTCAAGTTTCCATCCTGCAGTGGTTCCATTCAAATCAATACATTTATCAAGTATTGTACTTAAGTAAGATAAGATAAGATAAGACTTTATTTGTCCCGAGGGAAATTGTTGTTCCAGAGTTACAAAGATACAATAAACACAGCAGCATAATAATAAAAGTAACAATTATAATAATAAAACGGTATACTAACAACGTAGTCAAAAGAGCAAATTAAACAACTACAACAAACATATGGGTCAAATAACAGTATTGTAATAGTGCAAAAGTGGCAGATTGGTCATTTGCTAGTTAATACTGGTTCTTTACTTGATTATTTCCAAATTGATGATATTTTGTATTTCTACTTCACTACATTTTGGAGGAAAATAGTGTACTTTTTCTCCACTACATTTCTTTAACACTTGTACTTTTTCCCTTTAAAAACACCTGACATGGTGTATTATGTGTTGTGGTACTGTACTGCTCATATACCTAGTATGTATGTATTTACAACATTTGAAAGCTCTGAAATGTATTTCTAAGCGATACAAATACAATAATATAAAATTATATTACAACATAATACTTTGAAAAGAGTCATAGTGCATCATGGGTACTTTTGATACCCTAGGTACAGCTAAGTACAGCTGATACAGTATATTAGCTGATTGCTGATAATACTTCTGTTCTTCTACTAAGGTAGCATTTTGAATTCAGGACTTTTACTTGTAATGGGGAATTTTCAGACCAAAATATCTCTACTTTTACTTCAGTAAAGGATCTTAGTACTTCTACTTAGGAGGAGTGTGATGTGTCAGACTCTGCTGGCTGAAGACACCTGCAATGGGGGTTAACCTCACTGGGCTGCTGTATTTATCAGGTGAGGGTCCCGGTGTTGGACAGGTCCATATTTACAGTCTGTGGTCAGTACCTTGGTTGGTCCGTTCCCATGGACGACCACAGGCAGGGTGTCATACAGAACATTCCTGGCACGTACACGTCCATCCTCAAACTTCAGCACCACCTCATCTGGAAACACACACACACACACACACACACACACACACACACACACACACACACACACACACACACACACACACACACACACACACACACACACACACATGGACCCTTGTGGTTGTGTTTGTACCCATTTAAACAATACACAAAACACTCTGACACACAAAGTCAACAACTTGTTGACATGTTGGCCATGAGCGCATTCACTAAACATGAATAATTACACACACACACACACAAACACACACACACACACACACACACACACACACACACACACACACACACACACACACACACACACACACACACACACGACGTACGACGTACGTACGACGTACGTACGNCCCTTACATTCAGACATGCTATCGAGTTAAGTATTGGTGGAATCTCTTCCTTAAATTTGGCTATAGCACTAACAGATAGGTTTCTGGTGCAGGAGCTTTTGGCAAATGCTTTGTAGTCTAGTAACAGTACTTCAAAAGTTACTAAGAAATGGTCGGATAAAGCAGGATTATGCGGTTCGACATGTTTGTGTTTAGTCTGTTCCTCTTTTACCATGTCATCATCATTAATATCTAAATAACTTGTGCATTTGTGATAACATTATTTACAAGAGCACAACATTAGATCCAGCCTTCATTTTGCTCTTACGATGCACCTGATTGATTCATTTCACTTGAAATGTACAACATGTTATTTCCTAAATTCCAGATCTTATTAAAGTCAAATATGCATTACCTCCTCCTGATTGTGACTTGTTCCATAATGAAGTTGCGATAACATAAAAAGGTATGAGCTTATGTCTTCTTTTTTTTGGGAAAAACATTGATAAGACACTTCAACATATTCTTCCTTATGAAGATGACAAAATGTCAATGTAAACATGTTGTCTCTAATTACATAATGCTTTGTCATTACATGTGTTGCTGGAAGTAGGGTTGCATATCGTTGACTTTTTTACGATACCGATACCGATACCGATACCACTGAATGATACCGATACTCAACCGATACATATCGTGATACTTTAACGTTGCATAAGGGAAAAATGAATGAATCATCCCGCAATTACTCCCATGAAGCGCTTTATGATATAGTTAACATGATAAATGAATATTAAATTCAATTGTGGGACTTGGACCTTTTAGTACTGAACAAACAATTATACACACGTTATCTAGGAAGAAAACAGATTCTGCAATATCATTTATAACAACCATCAGGCAGGAATAGTACATCTTGTCAATGCAAAAAGAAAATGGCACCAGTATAATCAATATTCAACCTGAGATTCACTGACCAGAGAACACATAAAGGATCATGAGATCTCGGCATTGCACATAAAACAAATAGCATCATTCAAATCAACATTTGCCTGATGAAAGAAAGCAAATCCCATCACAGTTCAGTTTTGTGCATTCATCTTCAAGAAGATGAGCATATCTGCTCTCTGGATCCAAGCGGGCCCTTTCACAGCATAGGATATCACCTGCTGAACTGAGCACTCTCTCGCTTGGCACGCTGCTTACCTGAACACAAAGGTACTTGGTTGCTTTACGAGACAGCATTGGTTGGAGGTTGGATGTGTTGCCACCTTTCCCAGAAATAAACTTCTTGCAGTGGTTACAGACCCCACCATGCAGACTGGCAGTGGTTACAGACCCCACCATGCAGACTGGCAGTGGGTACAGACCCCACCATGCAGACTGGCAGTGGTTACAGACCCCACCATTCAGACTGGCAGTCATATGCAGCCACACTTTAGATTTTCTAATGTGACTTGTTTGCGGAGTTTCAAGGTGAAATTGACATCGTAATTCCAACGGTTTGGGCGCGAATTTAAGGATATTACGCCTCACTTTTATAAAAATAAAAAAGTATCGAAAACCGGATCTGATTTCGGTACGGTATACCGTAGCCGCCAGTAACCGGTATTTCGGTAATACCGGGAACCGGTATGCACCCCTAGCTGGAAGGCCTGTCAATCAGGATGGATGAGCTGGGGATTATGTTGTCTACATGATGTATGATCTGTAATATGATCTGTAATTGGAGAAGGAAGTCATATAAAAACTACAATATATTTAAAACGCACCTCTCACATAATTTTCTTCATTTGTAATTATAGATCTCTCTCTGTGTATGTCCAATGTATGAGTCATCAAAAAGAGACAGAGCGAGCAGCTGTTAAAAGAAGAGTTTATAGAGGGGGTTTTGGGAGCCATGCCCGTAGAGTCGTAGACTATGATGCTGTCACATCCATCTCTCAGTGAACTAACACATTCCTTCATGGCCTCAGAGAGGAGAAATGCTGCACACAATGCAGAGGGCTCAGCTCCTGCCCAAACGTGCAGCTCCGCCTGAACGACAGCAACCGTAAACCCCTCAGCTCTGGACCCTTAAGTATATTAAACAAGGTTTATTAGAAGATATGTGAGGTATTGTGTTTGCATTTAGCAGGGCTTTAAAGATCAGACAGAGAAAGAAGCACAGCAAGGAGCCGGAGAAAAAGAGTTTTCTAAAAGAGGTGAATGGTGATGTCTTTTCAAAAGCATTGAAAGGACATGTCATCACATAAGCAACACACACCTTACTGTGACTGATATATAATGAGCCCACTAGCTCAATACCTCACCCATGAAGTGATCCTAATAAATAAAAGATGACATCACTATGAATCTATATGATGGTATTAGAATGAAGATAAGATAATAATAATAAACGTATTGACTGAGAGTCAAAACATTTTTAAGGAGCAAACTTGAATATAGGTATTGTTTGTTAATGGCAGCAATGTGTTAAATATAGTAGAAACAAGCCACAAATAAACAATGTGCTGTGAATACAGTGGGTAAAACATATCTCCTAGTTGAATGAGCACAGTTTCACCCAAACGTCCTTTCTCTTCCTTTACTGCACACAAGGTCTTAACTGTAACTGTAACCATGTGTTATGTATGCCTTGTTACCATATAATTTCTTCAAATGAAAAGAAAATCTAGAAAACAGAATCTGCCGTTAACAATTTTAACATTTAACATTTAAAGGTCCCATGTCATGCTTTTCCGGTTATTACCCGTCCCTTGTGTGTTATGAAGGTTTTTATGCATGTAAACGGTCTGCAGAGTCAAAACCCCTCAAAGTACACGCTGTAGCGAGTAAAACTCTAACATAACCTCTCCAAAACGCCTCGTTGGAGATTTCTCCTTTACATCCCGGGTATCGCTACATAGGGATACAGTCTATGAGGGATACCCAGTAGCCACGCCCAGAGCTATGGCCGCACCCTCTGCCAGCCTTTCACGAAACAAAGCTTCCCAAACCTTTCAGCGATTCATGCCGGACATGTACAGCGTAGGGCACTGAAGAACGATGCTGTTCCTACTTTCTTTGGACCAGCGGGAGATTCGGGTACACAACCTGTAAGTATTCATTGTTGTTTGTGTATTTGTTTAAAACAAACAAGGTATCTACCACGACTGTTTAAATGGGTAAATGTTTTTCGGACTACTACGTTGGGATCGCGGAGAAATGCTCTCCGCAGGCCCATTCTCACAGCGTAATAAACCTTTTTCTTACTCAATATCAAGCCACACATTGTTTTTACTTCGGCTGTGAGTGTTTGTGTGTGCTCAGGATGAGTTTCGCTTGTTCTAGCTGTATCGCCAAGCCTGTCTGCTCCTGCAGCAGCCCGCAGCAGTGTGTGTGTCTGTGTGTGTGCGTGCAGCAACGAGCCAGTGTGCTCTGATTGGTCAGCTTCTCGACCAATCAGAGCACACTTAGGACAGAGAGTGAATACCGGTGAATACACACATACTTTACAGAGATGCTGTACGCACTCACCGAGGGCTCCATGGAGGTTCTGGAACATTCTGCATTTGTTGTCCACTGTGATATTTATGGATTTCTGAAACGTGGAAACACAGCTTTAATGTACATGTTGAAATAATATCTAAAAGCATAAATTCCCAAAACGTAGGTACGAAATATTAAGCTGAAGGTGCGGCCTGCACAAAAACTTAAGGCTGGGTAAAAAAACATTTAGGGGGGGCTGACTTATATTGGGCTAACAGGGTAAATTCAGTATAAGAAGTCATTTCATACTCAGCATTATTCTGAAGAAACACTGAAACTGTTCCCATCACTACTTCATTGCAGTCACTTCTTCTCTGTTTGCTCTCAACCTGCAGTTCTTCAAATGAAAAGCCTAAGAGGAAATGAGTGACTATGCCTGATGAGCTACTGAAAGACATTTCATTTGAACATTACTGCAGAACATTTTTTTTTGTGTCTCAATACAGCTACTTCACAGGGCTGAAAACATTGCAAAGTGGAACTATTAATACATATTTTTTCATATCAGAATTATTGTGTAGGGTACAAGTATTGGGAAAAATTGTATCTTGATGTTTTAGCAACATTGTTTTTCAAACTTTCATGCCACAAACCACATTTTAAATTTGGATTTAGTGATTTGGAAATGCCAAAATAAGATCAAATACAAGGGAAATGATAAATACATGCCTCAAATAAAAGCCTGGTTCTGTCTTAAATATAGGCACATTCTATTAAAGACTTCTGTTGTTCATGATCAAATGTGTTAAGTACCCTTTTAGCAGGATCGATGTAGATGTTGGTGAAGAACAGCTGGTCACTGTCACTGTCCTCTCCCTTCCAGTCAGCAACCATCTCTCTGATGCTAGGAAGGTAGCCAATGAAACCTGAGGACAGAAACACACCCAGACGAAACCTGTTCATCCAACATGTTTTTTTTCCATATTCATGCAAATGTACCATTGTGTCTACATTCAGGTACAGCAAGGAAAAAGTGATGTCAACTGTTTCTAATGGCCACGACTAATGACTCCTGCCAGCTTCAGTTTTATGGGCTCAGCTCAGAGCTGCCTGCTGCTTCTCTGCTATAAGAAGAAACGACCAAATCCTGCCTAAACCAAAACTGTCCAGTCACACCAGCGGAAAGTAAACATACAAATCATACGTAGCTTTGTGTTTGAGATGTAAAGGAATAAGCCAGAGAGATGTGGGATGATTTGGGTATATGATCATGTTCACTCAGTGGTGCTCTGTCCCTTTGCCCTATAGAGAGGCGAAGTCCCTCCCTTTCCGGTGGACCTCCATGGGACCTTATTTCAGTAAAATCATGTATTGAAGTCAATGGAGAGAGAAAGTTTATCTTTCGATCCCGTTTGACTTGTGCCACGAATTACACATATGATGTTTGTCAATTTAAAAGATCATTTTAAAAGTAAAAAAAAAAAAAAGTGTCTTAAAACTGTGAAGTAACACTTTTTTTTGTGTGAAACCGCTCAATGAACTACATCTCCGGTCTCGCACATCACACCAAGACGGCCGTCACGTTGGCACATTTCACTTCTTTCTTTCAGAATGAGGCGAAAAGTATTAAAAGAGGTGAAAATCACTCCAAGTCTGGGCATGTACAGTGGGGCAAAAAAGTATTTAGTCAGCCACCAATTGTGAAAGTACTCCCACTTAAAAAGATGAGAGAGGCCTGTAATTTTCAGAGCTGCAGATGAAAATGGTTCATGTTCTTACTCCTTTGAAGAGGTAGAAATCCCGAACTTGAATGAAAAAATTGTCGTGTACGTTGTGTTTGAGAGACATCGTTCTATTGTTGTCACCAGCAACGGTCTCCAAGTCTGTCGAGGACTTGGTCGACGAAACGCCCCCAAGTCAGAGAATTGAAGGGGAGGACTTATCTCTCCAACAACAACATTTACCCCACCTCACCTTCCGTCCAATTAAAGACGCCCCTGTCTGAGGACGATATACACTTCATTCCCTCGACCTCCCTCTCATGCACTATCCAACTATCGACCATATGCACAGGAGCATACTTGCACCACACATCTCTAAATTACAGGTAGTAATGCGTTATAGAACGACGGAAAAACCCTCTTTGTTCAAAAAATTTTTAATTTGAAAAACTTCGAAATATGCTAGTTGGTAGAATCTTCTTTTTTGAACTAATATTGTAGCTCGGGGGTGGAGGATGTTATGTCAGGTATTTACCGCCAAGTGTTAATGTAAATTAAAACGCAATGACATTCGTTCCCCTACATCACGGATTCTCTTTTCCGAAAACGACTTAGAATTTCCATTCGATTTAATTAATCCTTGAAACTTGGTTATTTTTTCTTCATGTTTTTCATGTAACGTAGTGAATTGCACTAGTTATGAACTGTGAATCCCCTGTCCTATATGCATAGGACGAATATTGATATCTCTCCGCTTCAGGGAGGAAGGCCACCCTGAGTACCTGGAATAAAGCCTTTTTCAAGACATAACTTCAGTTTACCTCTCTCTTCTTCTAATGGAAAGCTAGGGCAAACTTAAGCACGGAGTGCTTATGTGTATACTACAAACAGTTAGAATTTTATATACCAAAAGGTACATTTTTCAGTGTCAAACAGCATTTTGACACTTTCATTAGTTTGATACTTGTTTATGCGTTGATCTTTCTGCGTGTTTAGGGTCTTAGGGCCAGGGCGCACGGACCGGAGTTGCCTTTAGGCTGATTAGGAGAAAACACATACATGTCACCCCGTTTTTTCACTAAGATCAGTCGGTGGTTAACACCGTCAAAGGGGTGAATTTTTTTTTTATACCTTTCTCGGACATTAAAGTAGGATCCATCATGGAAGTGATACTCTCTGTTTTTACTTTTTTTTAGGTCTTTTTGGTGCATAACAGGACTAAATTTCTTAAATAAACGTTTAATAACACCTTTTATTCATAAACCAGTGGATGTTTGGTTTGTTCGTAAAGACCGAGAGTGATCTGGACAATTGAAGAGAACATTCTCGGAGAGAGACAGGAGAAGTGAACAATTGACACTCAATTCCGCGTGGCAAACTTGAGCAATGTCATATATTTTCTTATTTTCTGTGGACCAAGGTGATTGGAGTTTGTTCGGGTGTGACAGTTTATAGGTGATACCCCGGTTCTGGTTTCTCGACAGTTTCCTGTGGTCTTTGTGTTACATCTGGAACGTGGTCCGACCCTTCATGCTTTAGACGTTATCATTCGTGAACCTACACTTCTTTAGTTGACACCCGTCGTTAAATAACTCAACTTTTAGCTTCTGTATGTTTCTGATGACTAATTAGGAGGAGCTAGACCCGAAGGTACGTTCTTAGACTGTAGGCACCCCAGTTTTTACTAGTGGTTCCTTGCACTCGTTTTTAGTCTTGGTGTGCCTCCCTGGATCAGGGTATTCTGGCACGTCTCTCGACCCTGGTTTCATTTGTTTCCGATGGTAGTCATTGTGTGATGCGCGGTCCCCTGACTTTTAGGACGTCACGGTCTGCACAGGACGAATTCGGTCATGTACGGTCCGGGCAGAAACGTCAAAGATCTCTCGTAAATCTACTAGGCTCTTCTCCTAACCCTCTTACAGTTACCAGTCTACTTTGGTTTTATCTTTGAAAAAACCATTTTTTGAGTTGATCTGCCAAACCTCCTCTTTTTACGATCAACGTAGGTTTCTTGTGGTATGGATGACAACTTTGTACCCACCTTTGTAGTACGAAACCCGACAAAAAGACGTTTCCCTTGCGTCCTGCTGACTAGGCACATTTCCTTTCTTACTTCCCGGTAACATAGCACTGTAAAACTCACTGTTGGAGGGAAGGTAGTCGTTCCCGTAACTTTCTACTTTGCACGAACCAGAAAGGTGTACTGTTACTAGTTTGTGTGGCGGGCCCGTTGCTCTCCTCACCGAAACATTCTTCGTTAAAGTTGCCAGGACCTCACCGATTGGTCAGAGGTCTAGAGTTGGGTATCTTGTAAAACCTCCCTCGCTTTTCGACACAACGGGTCGCTGTCGGGGTGTTTTGTAAGTGACGAGATGTCCTCTAGGAATGTACCTCCTTACCGGTTTATGGTCGTGTCACAACACTTTTGGAACAACCTTCTACTTGAAACAATAACTGGTTTTATGATAAAGGTGTATTAAACGTTTATTTAAGAAATTTTTTAGGTCTGTTACCTAAAAGACCTATAAAAAAGAGTAAAACAGAGAGTATAACTCATANAGTTGCTTATCTGTTGATCATCAACTAATGGTTAATGTATATTCTACTGGCAGTTAGTTGAATGCATGTTACTTGTCTGTTGAAACAGTGTTGTTGAATGTCAACTGATGACTTATAGAGTGTTAACTATGGACTATCAAAATAAAGTGTTACCAAGTCTTGTTTTTAGAGTTAAGTTTAGAACAAGGTTTGAGTAAGGGTCGAGTTAAACGACAGGGCATTTGGGTTTACGCACGTAATTGTGATAGTTAAGGTTAAGCAAATGAATGTTCTGAAAAGCATACAGATTAAGAAGATAAATATGTACTAAGAGGGGGAAGTATCCACAACACACACTACATACATTCGTACACACACATTATTGCTTCCCAAAGAGATGATATGAGTATGAGATGACACCCTGCAGGTATAGGGTGGCATGCAGAGAACCGCCTGGTGCAGATTCAACAAAAAAACATGGTGTCATTACGTTTCTGAAGCCTCAATTGTTGCTTCCTATTAAGATGTTCAATAAGTTAATTTTGCCAAGCAACAACTACATCTAGCCAATAAGAGGAGTCTTAACTTAACTAAGCCTTTTTTTTAAATATTGGTCTATCCTTTGAAACCTCTTTATAAATGGCAGCAAATTGTAAATCACCAAAGTCAAAGTACCCGTGGAAAACACTTAATCACAAGGCCACAAAGTGAATGCAAACTATTCTGCAATTTAATATTCAATATTCTGTTTCTTATAGCAACCGCTACAGTTTAGCCTTAGAAACTCAGATACATTTTGGTGTTTTCACTTTTTAATATAATCCCCCTCATTATGGATATTATTATTTATTTTCAACTTATTATTAACAATTATTTGGGCGGTTTTTTAATTATTATTTAATTTTGTCTCCTTTTTGTCTTTTTTTCACATAAAGAAAACGTCACCATAATAAAAACGTTGTTTTAATTGTATTGCCTGTAGAGAAATTTGTTTTGTATTTTAAGCTAGAAGTTAAACTCATTGTATTTCATCTGCGGGTTGGAAAAAAGAAGATTAATTTGAGATGAGGCTCAGCACTGTGTAGTGATTTGTTCTAAAAATAACTTAAATGACTGCATATAGACACCAAGACCTACCACCAAGACAGTAACAATTGCATTTCTCGCCATTGGATGAAAACCCAGAGTTCAAGACTTCCTAATTTGTCTTCTAGACCAGATTTTATAACTACAAGATGATCACAAGTAAATAATGACTGCCTCGCAAAAGTTTAAAGGGAAATCTATTGATACAAACTTCTATGTAGTTGAAGGTTGGTTATAATGACTCAACCGTCCTCAATGGTTCCTAGATCACAAACCTTTTTTATTTTAACTTCTTCTATTGATTTTTATTTTTTAAAGGGGAGATATCACAGCAAAACTAATAGTTGTTACTGTATGGCAGTAAAATAAGTCTTATGGATCCCATCAATACACAACCATATACCAAACCCCTACATACTGCACACAAAAAGAGAGCAGAGCAGCCAGTATTCAGTAAACTGTTACTCTATATAACTGCATTCATACAGTCCACACAAATGCACACATGAACCAGAAAATGATTCATTTAGGTGAAGGATTCATTGAGGTTTGTATAATTCATAGGTCTTTGAATAAGTGAAAAGAGATCATAATTTGATTCATTAAAACACTAAGTCA